CGCGTCCGCAACGGCCGGCGGTGTGTCTGCTGATTTGCCGCTGATATGGTGGAGCTCGGCCGTGGTCACTCCCCGCAAATGCCTTTCCCCGACAATGGACCCCCTCCCCGCCGCCGGCCTCCCCGGCCCCCGACCACTCCACCACCACTTTCATTCTTATAACAAAATGTGAAAAAAACAAAATAAAGCTCGACAAAAAAATATGTATTAACTGATCAAAGGACTGCTTAACCGGCAATCAAAAGCCGCTACTGCGCAAGCAACCAAGTTTGTTATTGTTGTAATTTGACTAGGTGGTTCATTCAGGCCCGCCCCGCCAGCTAACCTTATTAGCTGTGAGGATCATGATGAGCGGAATAGTCCGTTTAATGGCTGCTTGCTCGCTGCACGGGGGGGGGGGGGGGGCACGCTGAGCCAGACGCGCTGGGGTTGTTGTGCGGGCCGGTCCTGATTGAGCACAGCGTGCCGTCTTAAGTGCGAAAAAGAGGTAGAGTCTTTTATATGTGAGTGCCGGAGAGAGTGACGGTATATATTGACAGGAGAGGGCACGACCCTGGGTGGGTCCCCTCCTGTGTCGTTCCCACCCTGTATAGGCCGGGCTCCGAAAATGTATACTCTTAAACCCCGCGCGCTTCCAGCTCTCGCATTTTCCATTCAAATAACTGGTCTTGCTTTACGCCAAAGAGATGGCGATAGCGGAGCGGGGCGGAGCGGGGGAAAAAAATGCTGGAAAACTGGCGTTGCTTCCACTCGATGCCCCTCCTGGCCCCGTTCCGTTTCGCCCCGCCGTTTCTATTTCCTATAACCAGCCGGCTTGTCTGTCGTCGCCGTCGTGCGGCGCAGTAAAACGCACGACTGCCCGTGTGTCGCCCCCAATCTCAAACTTGTGCCGCTGGCATCGAACACGACGAGACGAGAGGCGGAAGCCATCCGGACTGCCAACAAGCCGCCGATTTGAGCTGCCCGCAAAGGCCGCTCGCTCGCGCCGCACCCCATTCCACTTATTCAAACTCTTTGAATATTTGTGTTGGTTTTGTGCACCGGCGGCGCGCATCGCAGGGTACTTGGCAGCAGCCACGTCCTTTGGGGATCGTCCAGAAAGCGCGTCCGTTTCCCTTTGGATTAATTCCGCCAGTTGCGGAAGCTCGGCGCCTGCGAGACTCGGAGTAGGCCACTCCGCAGTGCACGCGTGCACTGTAAGCGAGATGTTGCCTACCCATCAGGCGCTATGCGAGCTTGCACATGATGAACTTGTCAGGTTCTTATACAGGCGTCGAATGGGGGACGACGGGCGTTACTTTCTGGATAATGCCTTAGCCGTGACCGTATGTAGACGCCGTGATTTCTAAGGGCAGGCAACACCCCGCGCAGAGAGTGAGTGGAGAGGAGTGGTGTTGAGTGGAGCGGAGTGGAGTGGCGTGGAGTGACTGGGTGAGTGCGCGTGGTCAGTGAAGGTGTACTCTAGATTCCGGGTGTGGAAAGGACACGCGATCTGGGTGCTCCCTCCCCCACCACCATGACCACCACCTCCCAGGCCCCAGCAGCTCCTCTGCGGCGGCCGCCTGGCTGCGGCTCTGGTCGCGGCAGCGGCACTGCCCGAGCTCAAGTGCACGCAGCGGGTGTGCGCCACGGCCGCGCTCCACCGCGCTCCGTTGGCCGGCCAGGACGCCGCCGTCGCCCCGGCGTGCGTGTGCGCCTAGCCGGCCTGCTTGTCGCCACCCGATATATCGATAATTAGGTCGACGCAGCCTGGCTCTAACTCACCGCGGACAAGCCGCGTCACGATAGCTCTCGACTTGAAGTCGCATAGAGTAGAAGAAGGCAGCGCTAGGCTGGGGTGGGGGTAGGGTGCCGTGGCGCAGGGTGGCTTGTACTCGGCAACAAGTAAATGCCAACCAACGATCGTTCCTCGACCATTTGACAGGCGATTCTTTCGCGTGTATCGAGGCGTGTATAAAGAAAACCAAATGATTATGCGGCAAAGTCTTCTAGTTAGGAACCCCTACTGCCAACTAACAAACCTGCCCCTCTGGTTTTCAGCCGGATAGTTAGAGAGTGTAGCTGATCACCTAGAATCAGAGAAAAAAATAGACCACCGACCGACCCACTGCGCTGTCGACGCGCCGACACGAGTGAAATGTATTATAGCAAAAGGGGGCTGTCGGCACTCGGCAGGTCGGTGGGGAGAAGGGCAGGGGGGGTAAATCAGCTAGAAAGGGATCCGCGACCGGTGCGCCAGAGATGTAGCGGGCGCTGCCAAAGGCTAGCGAGGCGAGATGGCTCAATGGACGCGGAAACCGATAGCGGTCATACCCACCCGTGTGTGCACCACCATGCAGGCGCGATTTAGTGCGGCTGACGCGGGCTGACAACTGACACCCTAACTCTTCCCTCCGCACTGACAGCTGACACTCTGTCCTATCCGCGTTCCCAATCCTTTGCTTTCCCCCCAAGTTCCGCGAATAAATTTTGCACTGCAGCACGAGGCATTCGGGAACTCCTACGCAGCGCCTTAGCGCCTTTGTAAAGCGGTCAAACAGGGTGAGGGGGTGATGGGAGAACGGTTTCGGGATAGCTCTCCAAATATCCGCGCCGTATGTTCCGACCCAACCGCTTTTATCATGATGGATGTTCCCCCATATGATGTGCACTTCCCTTCCGGCTGACAGCTCAAGGCGCGGCCGTGTCAGCGAGGGTTGAAAAGGTCGCATGCAGATCCGCGTGCAGCTGCAGCAGTCACCGCCCGCCCCACCTCGAAGCAGCACTAACTCCGTGCTGTGGGTTTCAATGGCCGCGCCCAACGACAACCCCGATATTATTCGCGGATTTGCCTTTTTACGCGCGCCCGGGCTGACACCGCTGACACACACGGCTGGCGGGGTGCTCAGAGGGCCGGACCGGTTCCTGCCGCTGAGGCCGGAGGAGGCCGGGCGGGCGGGCGCCGCGCCCGGGATGCACCGATAGCTCGCCGCCAGCGTCCTGAGCTGGTGCAGCCGCCGGCGCCGCGCCCCCCGCGCTGCGTGTCACACCCCTGGGGGGTCCCGCGCTATGATCGCCCCGGCCGATAGAGCACCGCGGCGCACCTGTCGCAAGTGAGCGCCGCGCTTTCACACAAAAAAATGACCGTTTTAACGTCCAGCGGGCAGATTTGCAAGACGTAGTGTGCTCCTCGTCGACCCGATTATGCAAATCAAAATGCTGCCGGCTGCGTCACTTCCGCGCGATCAGCCGGCTGAGTAAACATTCCTACCCACATCATAAGAAACTTTATAAACCGCTCTGTACTTTGGCGAGGCTAGCCGCGGCACGAGCCCAGGCGGGACGAATAATCCCGCGCCAGTGATGATGATCGTAAAACCGATGTGAGACACGAGCCTTTTGCACACACACGTTATTATATTACAGTTTTTGCCGTCTTACACTAGGTTTTCTGCCGCTCTGCGGTTTTACCGCTTCGATGTCGATGGAACAGGATGGACTGACCGGTCGCTGCTAAGTAGTCAGGAGGAGCCGTGGCGGCCAGCAGCCGGCCGGACTGGACTTCCGGAACACACCTCATAGCTCTGGTTCGCGAGGGGGGAGGGGGGAGGGACTTTCACTAAAGCTGGCCCCGCGCGCTGACCTCCCAGTTAGACCCTTTGAAACGGCGGCGCTCTAAAATCATGACCCTCCACCTCTCTTCAGACTTAATTTCTCCTCTGTTTCATGCAGCTTTCGTTTGAATGCACGACGTTTATGGCTTGTCCTGTAACGGCAGTCGATGCAATGAGTCCTGCGAGGAATGTAAAAATAAATAACAAACAACAGCCACACCCCGCGATAAATGTTTTCCCGTCACAGAAAACTTAGAGAAGATTTCGAGTTTTCTTCTCGCTTTTCATACGGAAGGAATAAGTAACATTGAATCGTAAAATGTGTCTTACGACTTCAAGGTAACTGTTTTACTGGCGCTCCAGATTTCGTTGGGCATCGTGCGCCTGCGGCTAAACTGCGCTCAAAACCGGTACAAAACACTCGCTTTATTGCAGCAGCATTTTTTTGAGCGTTGTTTTTCGTTTTCGTTTCGCGCTACCACCTCTGCGCTAAGTGTGAGGGTGGTGAGTGCGTCCGCTGCTCCCGGGTGTTAAACGAAACCCATTCACGCGCTTGATAACTACGCACGGCCTTTGCTCTATTGCTCTATTGGGGGCCGCGATCATAGCTCGTTGAAGCCACTGACCGGCTGGATAGATGGGTGAGTGTGTGGGAACACAGCAGCGGAGCCGTCGCAGGCGGACAGGAGCTCGCTGAACAACTGAACAACGCCCCCCTCTCCCCCCGGGCCCCCGCGGACCCCGCTCGGCGCCTGGCCCGCGCAGCGGAACAGTAACGGGCCAGGCCGGGCCAAGGCGCCGCGGGGCCACGCCGCGGCGGTAACCTGCTGCGGTCAGCGAGTCATGCATGCGGGATCATTGCTTTCGGATGGGGAATTCCCCGTGAACCGTGTGGATGAGTGGATCACGCGGATGATTACTTGTAGGAAACCGCCCATGCGAAAAAGAAAACTAGCCACAGAGGCCGGCGAAACGATTCCTCGCGATCGATTATTGTTTGCCGATTTTTCGAGAACCACACTCTTAGATGAAGACTTGAAACGGCTTAGAGGAAGAAAGGGGTCCCGCTCGACTATTTAGTGTGAGCAGCACTTTGTCTAGTGGCTGTGTGTCATCAGTTGGCTCCGCACTTTGAAAATGACAGGAGTTTCAAGACGACCGCGCGGAGGATACCATTGCCTTAATTGCTCCCACTGCCACTTTGAACGTCCGGTAAAAGTCTTGTTTTGTATGGATTTCGCGCAGTCACACACACATACACACGCATACAGATTGCTAGCTCTCCGTAACTGGTGCGCCCTCCCTCGCCTCGCTTCCTCGCGCGCCTAGCGTAGCTCTGCCTCGCCCAGGCCAGGAGGGAAGTCCCGCACCGCCTGCCTGCGCCCTGCCCTGACTATCGCATGCAACATGCAGTGGGGTGTATCTTTGGCCAGCGAAAGTAGTAGATAGGCTCGAGAAGGTCTCGCCGAGGGAGAGAGAGGCACCTGCCGCCGGAGGAGTCGGCAGTCGGCGCTCCTGTCGGCGCTCCTGTCGGCGGAGGAGGGTGTGGCCCCGCATCTGCTTGACCTTGGCCCTCCTGGCCCGCCTCGGAACAGCGTTTTTATTGAACCGGCGTTGGTGATGTCGGATTTGAAATGCTGCAGTCATCACTTTCATAGAAATGGCTTGTGTTAGGAACCAAGATTATTTCTCTGCTGAGAACCGCTAGACATTCCAGCATTTTAAATCGATTCTCTCGTTCTTCCATTCTGTAACCGTAACGAGCTATGTGTTCGCATGTGTGTGAAGTCTCCCGTGCACCTCTCTGATCACGCATCTCTCTCTCTCCTGTCTCCCACAGGCCGAGGACACAAGCTCAAGAAGAAAATCCACAAGATCATCAAGATCATCAAGATCATCATCTTCATCGTCGTGGTCAAGCTCAAGATGGTCTTCGCGATGTTGATGATGCAGACGCTGTTCCAGTTCAAGCTCGTGGCCATCACCTTCATGATCCTGCTCATCAAGAAGTACTACCTGTGGGTGGAGTGGAAGCACAAGAAGGAGGAGAAGAAGGTGAGTGCCTGAGTGCCTGCTGATGCAGATTAGTGTCGCTTTTTATTCGAGACGAATGAAAGGATGAGGACGAGAGGAGAAAAGAGGGGGGGGGGGGGTTAGGAATGAGAGGTGGATTGAGGTGAGGCAGACATGGTGAAACCACCGCTCTTACTGCAGGCGCTCACACGACAATCTCCTGTTGCAGGCCGTGGTGTACTACGAGCACGCGCAGCACCAGCACCACTACGACGAGACGGACCACTTCCACGACGGCCTCGGCGGCCTCCTGGGCGGCCAGCACGGCTACGACAAGCACGCGGACCCGAGCGGTGCAGGCGCGGGCGGCGGCGCCGAGGCGGCCGGCGGCTGGGGCGGCTGGTGGGGCAAGCGCAGCGCCGAGTTCCCCACGCCGCAGGTGCCCGTGGTGGCGGCCGCCGCCAACCTGGGCGCGCAGCAGATGGCCTACAACGCGTACCGGCCGGCGCAGGCCGCGGCGCAGATGGTCGGCTGAGGGCGGCGCGGGGCGCATAGCGCGCGGCGGCAGGGAGGGAAGGCCCAGGCCGACCGGGGAGGCAGGGTGGACGAGCTTTGATCAGGGCTCGGTCCCGCGAGCGGGGGAAGGCCCTTGCACGGCACCCGTCACTCGCCCAGATTAAGTCCTGATCTGATCCTGATCCGAACCTCCGTCTCCTTTATCTTTATTGCGTCCTTTTTTCAAGGAAAACTAGGGAAAGTCGGCGTTCTGCGACCGACGGAAGCAAGTATACGCTATGGGCGAGCCCAAATTTTAAGACCCGCCGTTTCGTCGCGCGGAACACAAAAGAATGAAGGGGTGGCAGCAGGTGGCAGGGCTGCGCCCGCGCCTGCGACACTGCGACAGCCACGGCCGGGGGCCACGAGCAGCCATGACCACCTGTGCGAAATCGCGCACAGAAAAAGTGCCGCCCGACTCAGTGCGGGGTCCCGAAAGGACATCTTGATTTTCCCTCTGTGATAAGGTTAGACACTTTGCTTTGATGTCGCGGGCGGCGATGCAGCCAGAGACTTCTTGCTCATTTCTCCGGGCAGCGGTCGAGAAAGGGAAAAGGAATGATGTGGGGTATGCATGCATATTCGTCTGAACACGATACTATATCATCCGCTGATCATCTTGCTTGACAAGTTTTTCGGGTGGGCTACTACAGGCTCTCCAATACCACTAGGACTAGGTTTTCTCCGGACCGTTCGTCCAGCTATGCATATTTCCTGCAATTGGCGTAACTCGAAATCAAAAAGGTTTGGCCATTTATTGAAAAAAACAAACAAACATGAGTACTTGCTCAATAGCGTGTAGGTTTGTGAATAGATTATTTTCTTTCGATGATGCAGGGCCGCGTTTTGTTGTGCCGTATCGGATATTTCAAAATTAGTGTACCTTTGTTATTTATTGTGAGACTGTTTTTGTTGTTGTGTGTTAACTTATTGTACTTATTACTTATTTATGTATTTATTTTTCATCATTAAGAATCAATGTTCAATAAAATGAATTTCTCACAGAATACAACTAAGCGGAGCTAAGCCCTTTCTGCCTTTGTTTAACAGACGTTCCAGGAATGAAATCAATGGTTTAAAACATTGAAAGGATGTTTTGTAATACAAAAAAGGCGGATTGCATAGAATTTTTCTTTATTTATATTAATTTTGTGTGATGATGACTAATTACCTTAAATTACAACACAGTTGGACATTCCAACAATGTTCTGTATGGGAAAATCTGTACATAAATTTACAAGACAAGACATGTGTTCAGTTCTTAATTTTAACACAAAACCTAGAATATTTTAAAATTGATGATATTTGTGATGTCATAAGCCTCATGATTTTAAATGGGGAATTAGTAAGCCTATAGACTCAATGGGGTATATTTTTCCTGAAAAATAAAATTCTCTTCTTACACTTGATATTGCATAAGATTAGGCACGCATTTAATACACCGTACAAAAATCTAAATTACTATAGAGAGCAACAGTAAAGTGAAATTCATACTTTAAGTTTACATCCATGTAGCCACTGTTATCACTTCTATATTAATCAAATCTACCCAAAAGCAGGTAACACAAAAGAAAACATTGACATAAACATAAGGACATTGTCTAAGACAAAACAACAAAAAGAAAAAGAGAGAAATAAAAACACAACCTTGAAATATAAAAAAGGAAGCTGCCCAATGAACAACTGGTAACCAACTATATTGCCATGGTTCCTCATAAAAGGACTCTGAGAACATGGTAACATTAAATATGAGTAATTAATGACAGGCCCACTTCAAAATAACCCAGCAAATAGATCTTGTCAGTCTTCTAAATGCCAAAAAGATAATAATGAACCAATCTGCAAATTTCAAAATGTATAATAGCAAATGAGCTGCTCAATATTCAGAAATAATTAAAGTTTATGTACAAAATGTTTGTCAAGAAAGACAAATACTGGCAGAGCACACCCAAGGCATACTGAGACTTGGGGTGGGACAAATTGATTCCTAAACACACATATTGACATTATCAAAAAACATATGTATAACACATTTACACTGGAGAGTTCTTATTAAATACAAGATGCACATACAAACATACAAAGAGATTCACATCTGTCACATTCATAATTTCATTCATACAATTAAATTGTCAGTTCATTAGCTTGGTACAAAATACCCATTACATTTACATTTGTAAGCTACACAACTCCACGGCAGTGAAATAATGGCAAAATACAGTACTCCAGCACAGACTGGTGAGCACATGGCAGTGAGATTGTTTGTCAACCATTTCAGAAATGGAGTAACAATGATTTAACACATCTATTCCATGACTTGCTGATTTTAATGGATGAAGATGTGCCATTCATTGAAAATTTCAACATTACAATAGTTGTTAAACACATTGACCTGACGGTTAAATACTGGCTTGGTAACACTAAAAGACGATCATGGTACCTTAAAATGTGAGAAAATAAAGAGGGAGTCATCTACACTATCCTGCAGTAAGTGAAGAGTGTGTAATTCGGTACATCTACTGGTAACCCAGTAGTTTGAGCCTTGTCAGTTAAAAACTTGCCATACAGGACATACAGTACTAAGCACTGAGCATTTGTGAGATATTGCCAGACACTATAATCAAATTAATCATATATCACCAAAGAAATTAAAAATAAAGTAAATATTAATGCACCAACAACATTGCTTGGTATTGAAAAACATAAATTCATCAAATTTTGGTAATCTATCTTTCACCGAGATTCAGAATCTGACAGTCAGAATTTCCATAGGATCCATAAATTATGGACTGCTTTAATATATATTCATATATTACACACCTGACATGGAAATTAACTAGCTAGTTTAATTTTTTCAGGCTTGTGTATACAACAAAACAGCAAGACTATGTAACTCACTGAGTTGAACATAAGGCTTCTTGTCATAAATAAAAAAAAAAAAAAAAAGCACAAGGAGAAAATTCCTACAATAATGCTTCCCGTGCAAAGCACTTACAGTCTTTAGATCACAGTGCAACTGTATCTGTTATTCTTATTTGACATTATTCATACAATTTACTTCATTAGGAACACAGGAACTTTGATTCAATAAAATACATATGGAACATTATACAATGACATGTCTTAGCACCTCAACATTCAAACTCTGAGGCTGTTATTGCATTTAAATCCTTCATGAGTCCTTCCAAATTTGCCATTTCCTGGTTTAATTCTTCGGTACTGTATGAAGGCTGCAACAATACAGTGAGTAAGATTTACCATTCTAAATCATATAGATACAGTAGATAGAAAAAAGTCTACCTGCATTTGAAAAAAATAAATAAATATAGACCTACCTGTAATCTACCCGGGTCATGAAGACCAGAACTCATAGTAGGGTTGATTGCTCCAACCCTGGAGCCTCCAATTGGTACAGCTGTTACTGTTGCCACAAGGTTGGGCTTCTTATAGGGACTTGAGCCTTGATGAGGCCTAACACTAACTCCTGCTACAGAGCCTGAAAAAGAATTAAAAAAAGAATTGGATTAGCAATAGCAATTGTGTCTAATACTATATAGTTCAGATAGTGGTGCTAAGGGTTCATATTTAGAAAAGTCTACATAGCAGAGATAATAGAGAAATAATAAAAAATAACAACATCAAAAATGAAACCAGCCCAAAGAAATCCGCAAATTATTTAAAGTTAATAAGAACAGGTACTGTAAATTGGATATTTTAACCTCTTGTCAGACTTTTCACAGAATCAACCCCCAATTACTGCATTGAATGTGGGAAACAATTCGACACAGTAATTACCAATACAACTGTGTTGAGGCGTACAAGGAGCAGATTGAGGAGGAGGTGGAGGTGCCGGGACACTAAAACTCTTGAGTGGGTGTCCTTGCAACCGTTTGGCACCTGCATTCCCGACACTCGGCCCGATCGTACTCCCCACAGTACTGCCAGCACTACTGGACGATGATGAGTTACATTCTTGAACAGTTGCCAGGCCTGGTTGAGATGCTGGTGACTGACCCACTTGTAATGGTGGAGGTAACTGCTGGGCATTTAGTCCAGGACTGGAAAAAGATGAAAAATGACATCAGGCACACATCTAGAGAGAACTGTAGATTCAAATACAGAGAACAAATAAATACCTGTAAGTTGATGTATGATTTGGAGTATGATGTAATATGGGTGGCCCAGGTGCACCGACTCCACCTGGTATACTAGAAACTGTGTCATATCCACCTTGTAATGAATAGGGACTTTCAGACGTTTGGCCTGTAAAATTGTATTTTTTTCATTAAGTGTAATGCGACAGAGCACACGTCTAGCTCTTACAGTAAGAGATAAAAATGTACCTGAAGGGTCCATAGTCACATGTGCACGAGCCATGGAGTACTGGGTGCGGGGGTAGTGGGGTCGGCCATCAGTTTGAGACTGCGGCATGTTTCCATTGGGGATTGGCGTAGCTGTGGCCACAGCTGAAACAAGACACAAAAATGGACTATGAGTAATAGCATATGGGCAAAATCTTTTAACTTTAGATAAGATTAGTCTAAAAAATGTTTTCCTCATTTCAAGTGATTTACAGGTGATATTTAGCCAACTCTACTTACATTCTCTCAATGGTTCACAATCCACTGGCAAAGATATTATGGGTTTGGCTTTAATAATGTGACGAGTGGTAGAGGATTTTTCATCACAGTGGTTCAGTGAATTGCCTACAGGCAACACAAAAAAAGGGTAGGATAGCGTGCAAAAAAAAAGCAGTGCAGTAATTACATAAAAAAGCATTTTTTGCATGGGTAAAGACAAAAAAATAATTCTAGAATCTTACAGTTAAAATTAATCAAATTGATGATTATGATTAAGAATGCATTTGAATATAGTTACGTTAATTTGGTTAGGGCAAAAGGAGAACCTAGATGATATAAAATAGGGAATACGAAGCCTTAGGCAGAGCAACTTGAATTCCAAAAAACTAAGAGAAAGGTGGATGAGGAAACAGGAGCTAAATATTTCATATGGATAAATGCATGATGATATGAAGGATGTAGGAATTAAAGAGGAGTTTCAGTTAGTGCTTTGGAGAAAGCTAGGGAAGATACTTTGGACAACACAAATCTTTACAATTAACTTGTACAAGGGGAAAAAAATATTCATAGAAAGAAAGCTTGATACTAACCAACATAAGACGAGATGTAGTTCCTCTTATCCAAGGAGTTAGTGTGATGTTGATATTTAGGAGGTCCATCTGAAGAATAGTCTTGATGTGTATTTGAAACACCTGATCTAGGCAAAGTTGTAGCCAAGGTATGAGATGATGATGACGATGTTTCTCCACTAGGGTTCCCATGATTATTCCCACATTTGTCCATATTTTTTAACTCCATTTGGTCATGATGAATCCAGAGGTCTGGCGGTTTTATGTCAGGCTTTGAGGTCTTGGTGTTTCCTTTCATATATCTACAAAAAAACAAGAAATGAAAATAAAATACAATTGTGATAGATTGCCAAATTTTAAAATGTTGACAGAATACATACCCTTTTTTACTTCTCTCCTGGCCCTGTTCAGACCGCTTACAGCAAACTACTGTCACACCAATTACAGCAACAAGAATAATCAATCCGACCACACCAACAATAACATACACTAGCATTGTTCCATTCAATCCTCGGTTTTCTGCAAAAGAAGGATACAAACATTGAGCACAAAATATTGAAGATCAAAATACTGAACCAACTTCCTCTTATGCGTAAAACAAGAAGTATATAGTTAATGACATACCTTTGCTCATTGCGCCAACATCGTTAGTTGAAATAGAGCCTACAATGACACAATTCACATACGTAGTTAGTAAGAAAATTCACAAAAGTCAACACTAACTTTGGTTATTAGTTCATCAAACACACTCAAAATATTATGCGGTAGAAAGACAGCAGATGGAATTAAGTAAGAAAAGGAGATGGCAAGTGACAAGTGAACAAACTTCACTGTGACTGTCCAGATACAGTAACAAAGTTTAAGATAAACTTAAATTATTTAATGTATTAATTTAAATGACTAAAAAAATAAAAATTCATAACAATATTGAAACAAGCAGGCTGTTATACAAATATTTAAACTTACTTGTAGAAGTAGTCAGCGAAACAGTGGAAGAAAATGGACCAGGACCTTTGCTATTTCTTGCTTGAATTTTGAAGAAATAAGTTGTACTAGGAGTAAGCCCTTTAATTGTTGTGGTCATTTTGTCTCCAGTTACTGATTCAACCACCCAATCACGATCCCGCAATGTAATATCAGTTGTGTAGTAAATGGTGTATCCTTCATAAGAAATCAATCAGATTCATTAAAATCAATAAGTAAAAATAATAATAAATAATAATAAAACCAAGGTGAATCACATTTTTGCAGTACCTTTAATTTCTCCATTCGGTTTATTTGGTGGTTGCCAGTTGAGATTAACAGAGGATGGATGATTATCAACACCAACAACCGTTAGATCTCTTGGTGAAGAGGCAGGTGCATCTTCTAAAGTGGTATTCAAAACCACCATGCTCCACGGACTTTGACGACGACCCTGAGGAAAGAACAATAAATGGTCAAAATCAGCAGAACAATCTAGAGTTCAATTGAATTTTCCAAACCTACCTTAGCAACCTTCACTGTAAATTCATATTGTGTGTGTGGCTTCAAATCATCAATCATACAGTTCAGGTTAGTTGTGTTTTTATAACGTTGGCTCAAGTGGAATGATGTGTAACGCACCACATAATAGCGGTTATCAGTTACAAACTGAAAAAATAATGGTTTAATTAATAATTAATTTGACAATGAAGATCAATATGTTTACATTATAAGTACATGACAACAATTGATGTAATGTAAAGCCATACCTGGCTCTGGGATAGAGTAGTGTCAGTCCAGTAGACAACAACACTAGTGGCAGATAGAACTATTGCTTTCAGACCAACAGGTGGTATCAGAGGAGACATAGGCTCGGGTGTTGATTCTTCTCGGGTACGATTAGACTCATATCTTGGCTGTCCATCACCTACTTCATTAAAGGCTCTCACACTTATAACATATTCCGAATTAGGTTCTGTAAAGAAAAAAGGGGGGAAAAAAAATTAGTGCCTCAGTTTTAAAAGACAGATACTAGTCATCAAATAATGGTTGCTTCAATTTAACATACCTAACTCTTCAATGGTATAAGTTCTTGCTTTGTCATCTAACAGTTGGCTGTACACATCAGGGACTCCCTTACCCCATCCAATTGTGTAGCCTCTGACTTTAATATTTTGATCACGGGGAGGGAGCCATGACACTTGCATAGAATCAACCATTGGGCGCACTAAAATTTCCAAAAATACCATGGTAAAATAACACAGGAATGTTAAATGCAGTGTTGACTCATAACATAACAAAATAAAGGTAGACTTACACTTCAGCATGGCTGGGATATCAGGAACACTGCTTTCATCTAAATCTTTTTGATAGGTTTCGATTGTGTACCATTCAGTTGGAGGACCAGTTCCATTTACATTGATTGCATAAAGACGCACATTGTAAACAGAGCCTCTCTCTAGATCGGTCAAAGTGTACAATCTGCGATTGCCAGCAGCTGTGACAGTGTCACCTTTTCCACTTCTTCTATCTTTCTTCCGGTACCGCAGTTTATAACCAGTTATTATGCCGTTCTGGCCCTCCTTCGGAGGAGGTTCCCATCGTACAGTTACACTTGTTGACCCAGCTGCTTCCAGAGTTACATTTTGAGGGTAATCACTTGGAGGTGCCGACAGTGTCCGTGCCGTTACCTCTTCAGTGCTTGCCCCTTGTCCATTCTTATTTGTCGCAATAACCCAAATGCAGTATTCAGTATACTCTTCTAAGTCGGTTAACTCATAGTGAGTTTCACTGGTTTCTACATGATGTTCCTCAGCAGATTCCCCCTAAAAATAGGATAAGATTAATTAACATACCACTTAAGAAATTAATTGGTGATAGTAAACAGTTATAAGTAAATTGGTAGAAGTATATTTACCTCCATATAGAAAAGTCGGTAATTTAAAATGGGTCCATCGGAGTTAACTGGTGGTCTCCATTTAATTAGAATGGATTTTGGTGAGAGAGGAATGGCAACAAGGTCTAAAGGAGGACTAGGTACATGAACCTAAAAATAAAAAATAATGATAAAAAGATAATTAAATAGTTATAGTAAAGTTATGAATAAAAATAACAAGGAAGGCGGTAGAAAAAAAGAACAACAAACCTCAGGAGCAGTAGTGACAGTGATGGTAGGACTGCTTGGGCCCATTCCTACTTGATTGTAAGCAACAACTCGAAAATCATATTTACGATCAGGTTGTAACCCTGGAACATTTGCTTCCTCTAGTCGAGATCTCGATGTATTCATAACTCGTTCTCTGCAGGGGAAAGATAATATGGAGGCTTGGTTATTTTGAGTCTTGTGCCAAAATAAAATTGCCACAGGTCATTAAAGCTCACCTTTGAGAACCGTCCTGACGATAAAACACAGAATATGTGTCAATGTCTCCATTTTTTTCTTCTGGTTCTTTCCATCGAAGTGTGACAAATCTTGTTGTCACAATCACAGCTTCTAAATCTCTTGGCTCTGATGGTGTGCCAGGTAACCTCATAGGGATTTCACTCCCCCTCACTTCATCAAAGCTACCTGACTGGGAATCTCCACCAGCTGTGTTTGTTGCATCCAATTCACCATCATATTCATCGTCGTCATCATCACCATCATCCGCATCATCATCGTTTTCGTCATCATCATCGTCGTCATCATTGTTGTAAGGGTCAAAGATATCGTGTGGTTCAGAATGAAGAGGTGGGGGTGCATGGGATGGTCGAGGCAAGGCACGAGAGGAAAGAGTGTTATGAATTTTCAAACTACTACTACTACTACTACTACTGGAGACAGTAAAACGTGGAGGAAGGGTACTGGAGGTATTATCAGGAGAGGAAATTTCGGATTCTATAATAATAGTTAACAGAAAGAAAATAGGATGGACGGAAATCAGAAAGGATAGAAAAAGAAGGAAAACAAAAACAAAATAAATTAAAATAAATAAATGCAAAACCATAAAAATAAACTAATAATGAAAATGATTTAAAAAAACTGACAACTAAAAATTAAAACGGCTGTAAAGGGACATAAAATATTTCCAAACATGATGCAAATCCATACCTGAGCTAACTACTGTTAATCTGGCAGCTGCCTGTATGTTTCCAGCAGGGTTGGTGGCAATACATTGAAAAATGCCTGAATCCATGCTCATGAGCCCCAGAATTCTCAAATTATACCTACAAGCAATGATGCCAATGATTAAAAACTGTTCTGGTTGAGAGGATTGTGGAATTCTAACATAAAAACAGTTGATATAATGCCTCAGACTTACCCTCCAACAACTTGTATGTATTCATTTTGGGTGATGATGTCTCCATTTTTCACCCAGTAAACTTTTGGTTCTGGTTTTCCATACACTTCACATTCCAATTCTAGATCATCTTTTTCCACGGCTACTTTGTTCTGAGGCTGCTTGATAAATCGTGGGGGAACTAAAAAGGGGGGACAGGAAAAGAGGCGGTTTAGGATACATTCACACATAGAGGCCGTCAAGAGAAGCAAAATGGTCTTGAGCCTTACGAACCTAGTACTTCTAAAGTAGCACTAGCGTCAACCGAGTCCTCTCGATTCTCGGCTCTGCACTGGTAGTCCCCAGCATCTGACTCCTCGACATTTAGGACTTGCAAACTACCCGTTCCAACTTTGCGGAACCGACTGTCTAGGTGCCTGAAATAAAAATATGGAGTTACAGCAAAGAAACCATAAAGCAACCAAAAACAAAATGGAACATTTGGAACACACACAAAGACAGTCTGCATACTCACGCCATATCGATGGTGATACCGTCCTTCAGCCAGCTGATCTCCGGCCGAGGGTTGCCGTTGGCCGCGCAGTCCAGGGTGACGTTCTTCCCGGCCATCACCTCGGTGGACCTCGGGGTGGCGATGAACACCGGCGCCATGATGCTCTCCCCCGCTTCTACGGAGACAAACGATGTCAGGGAGAGTTAGTAATGAAAACAAAGTCACAGGAGAGTTAGTCATGAAACAAAACAACAACAGAACAGAGTCGGATGGGGGTGGAGGGGTGAGAGGCAACTCTCGACTGACCTATATCCATGTTGATGGTGAGCGAGGCCTTGCTGCTGAGCACGCCCGAGGCCGGGCCCGTCGCGTTGCACTGGTAGGCGCCCTGGTCCGAGGCCTGCACCTCGTCGATCTCGAGCGCGCCCGAGGGCATGACGAGCATGCGCGCGGGGTCGAGCAGCAGCGGCCGGTCGTTGCGCAGCCAGGCGGCGTGCGGGCCGGCCGCGCGCCCGGGCCCCGGCACGGGCTGCGTCACGCACGCGAAGTGCGCCGTCTGCCCAGGGAACACGCGCAGGTCGGCGGGCTGCTGCACGATCTTGGCGGGTGCTGAAGGAAGAGGAACCAGAAATGAAAACAATGAAGCACCTTTGAATAAAAGTTCAATACAAATAAAAATAGATTGTAAGTAAAAATAGTGAAAAATCATTTTTTCTACAAACAATTGAAAATATTTTTAATGACGTTAGGAAAACCGTGCGTATACTCACTCGCCAGCTGCAGCCGCGCCGTCCGGCTCACCACAGAGCCAACCCCCTCCAGCGACACGAGGCACTGGTACTCGGCCACGGGCGCCACGTCGTCCTCCTCCCCGAAGGCGCTGATGTACAGCGAGCCGTTGGGCAGTTTGGAGCGGTAGGTGTCGCCGATGAACGAGAGCGTCTGGCCGTCACCGCCGCGCCAGCTCACCACCGGCTGCGTGTCGATGTGCGCGGCGCTGCGCGCCTCCGCCTCGCAGTTGAGCAGCGCCGGCCGCCCCGGCAGCACCACCATGTCCTGCGGCTCGGCCGTCAGCACCAGCTCCGCCACCGGCACGCCTGCGAGCAGAGAGAGGGGTGACGGGGATTAGGGGGGTCGTCCAGAAAGTATACACCCGTCACTCGCCGTCACGGAACGGCAAAGTTTGTTTCACCCTATGCAACCAGCTCTCATAGCGCCTGACAGGTATGCAACATCTCGCTTCCGGTGCATGCGTGCATTGCGGGGTGGCCTACCCCGAGTCTCGCAGGCGCCGGGCTCCCGTAATTTACCGAATGAACTCTTGAGAACAACGGCAACGTAGTACTTTCCGTGCGATCCCTTAGAAACCATGCCCCATGATAAAGAAACAGATACTCAACTCTAAAAAGACAAATTACACAAAAACCAACATATTTATGCATTATAATGGCCGACCAAATTTTTTCCTTAGAGTGTTCGGTAAAATAATAAGAATGCACTAGATAAACAGAGAAGACATATAATCATTCAATAGAATTAAGGAAAACAGGATGTGTTGTTTCCGCGTCGGCATCCTTGCCTCACACGGTGCGGACAGGACGGGGTAGGGATAGGGTAGGCCAGCCCGGCAGACACGGGCGCGTTGCGGGCGTGCCCACCCCGCAGGCGTTTCGCTCCACGCCTCACCGGCCTCAGCGGCAGCCGCAAAGCGTGTTCGCGCGCCGCGTCT